ATTTGAAGTAGTAGGCACCTAAATCCCCAATAGTGGTATGATTTTTCCTTTCTTGACAAATTATTATACATGATTTGTTAATAGTTATTCAGCAATGGCGATCCCCTTGACGGACATGTTGCGAAAGGAGAAGAAATAGGAGTGGACAAAGAAGTGTCAAGAGGCATTTAACCGGCTAAAGAAGGCAGTTATAAAGGGTTCAATACTTGCACTCCCTAACTTCTTAAAACCATTCAAAGTACTGACAGATGCTTCGGATGTGCTGGTAGAAATTGTACTCATGCAAGAGGGTCACCCTGTGGCATACGAAAGCCATAAGTTACTAGATGTTGAGAAGTTGTGGCCTACGCATGAGAAAGATATGTTTGCAATGGTACACTATCTAAGAGTGTGGAAGAATTAGTTGAAGGCGGGATTGTCCTTCACGATCATCACCGACAACCAAGTTGTAAGTTATCTACCAGCCCCAAAAGAAGTTGATGGGGAAACAAGCATGGTGGCTTGAATTTCTTGCAGAGTTCAAGTTTGAGATCAAGTACCGTCTCGAAAAGACCAGTTTTGTGGCTGATGTTTTGAGTCGCAAAGTAGACCTCTATAGCAATTTCAACAGCAACAACCCTTTGCTGCACAATATCATAAACAAGAGGGCTATTATGAAGCTTAATCTTATCACTAGGCTCCCTAATATCCACATTAAGCACTTGTCTTTACTCCACCTCCCATAGAAAGTGCTCAACCACTGAATTAAGAGGACATCACTAGAAATTCCGAGTGAACAAACCAAAAAATTTCTAAAGAAAAAGATGCAAATCAGCTAGATCATTGAGGCGCTCAAGTTAACGTAGAAAATGGACTTTTCCTAGGATAAATGAGACTGCTCTAAAAAAAGCAAAAGCAATAGAAACTCGGAAAAGAAAGCACACTTCATCACCACTGAACCCATCCAGAGGTATTACTCGCTCAATTGTTCATATTTCTTTGAGTTTATTACATGTACAAAATGAGAACATTCAAGCTCACCATGAAGAAAAACATTCTAATGAGCCACGAGCAGCCACTGCCACTCGAAGCTAACATCTACAGAAGGAAGAGCAAAGTGAGAAAGAATTAGGTAAAGCTCATTTCCCATGCATCTGAAAAAGAATAATGACACCACGGATTTTAGAAAGTTAATGCACACATTTGTTTTGGATTGATTTGCTTTGAACTCTCAAGTATTGTCCCTTTTTTAGATTGATTTGATTTGGACTCTAGATCTTTGTTTCATCTTAATGATTCTAACTAGATAGAGATACTTCAACACTTCTACCATTCTAGAAAAAATTCCTAAACGCCGACCTAGATACTTCTGATCTATTTCTTTTGAATATAGATTTTCTACCAACTACCCATGGCACAATTGATTTTGTATTATAACTTGGTGTTTAACAAGGCAAAGCCTCCCCTATACAAGACGTTTTTGGCCTTTGGATGACATGTCATTGATAGATAATGAAGGGAAATGATTGATATATGCCTTCATCTCTCTCCCTCTCTTTTTCAATTGTTCTTTCTCTAAGGCCTTTTAGATGACATTCCTTAACATTGTGTAGTTATTAATAAAATGGGTATACGAACTATGACATTTATAGTAGGTCTTTCTTTTTAGTTCCTCTGAGCTAAGAATCCTATGGCCTTATCTTAGCTTGATTTGTTTATCTTTACGAAAGTAATCAAATATTTGCTCAGTTTTGACTATATCAAATGTATAGACAATCTTCACTTGTTCCTTGCCTTTGGTAGGTTTTAGGGCCAGACATGTGTAAGCTTTTCCTTTCAAGAGTTCTTGCTGTCATGACCTTGCATTCAGGGTCCTCTTCAGTTAACTCAGCTTCTTCAGCATAAGATGCTATGGTGGAGTTGAAATCCTTTTTCCGTTTTGTGGCCCATGTATCCCATTTCTCCTTAACCATGCATTATGCCTAAGATATTGCCAAGACAAGTAGAGAGAAATCCTAGAAATGGTTGAAGGCCACTTTTTCCTTGATGTCCGTTTTTGTATTTTCATGGCCATGGTAGTGGTATGATCCTTTAATCTCATTATGTAATTAGCTTTAACCAACATAAACCATTCCAAGAACTGGGTGACTCGCTCATCATATTCTTGTTTTATGGCCACTAAGTGTGCGATAGTAGTCTCCACAAGTGGTGTGTAAAACCGATCGTGAAACATCTGCTCTATCTTGGTCCAAGACTATACAGAGCCGAGGGCCAAAAATGTGTACCACAACAAGGCTAATTTTATTAAAGACACAGAGAATAACTATAGCCTATACCAATCATTAGTTACTAAATCCCCGTATTAAGCCATAATATGCTTATATGCTTAATCATAGATTTTCTATCTTTGCCTGAAAATAATTAGATGGTAACGGCATAGTGTCCAAGATCAAAGATGGGTATAGGCTTTGATAGATGAGCTTCTCTTCAAATTTAATTATGGGGAAATCTTGTTTAATTCTTTCAGATATGAGCTTTGGAGCGATAAGTAAAAGTAAATCCATTCCCGGTCCTTGAGATAAGTCAATCCTTAAGGGGGGCTCGTGATTGGAAACTATCCATCAATTCTCCCTTAAGGGTTCTATGCAATGGGAGGGAGACCCTACCCTTTTGGTTGTCCTCAGGAAGTTGGCTCTCTATTCCTTGTCAGTTGATGGCCAAAATGACCAAAGTTGATACCATGTGATCCTATTCCCGCCCATTGGCTTCCAAGTTGGTTGTTCTATTCAGTACATGTGGATTGTGGCCTCTATAGTATGCCGACTTGACCATATTGTAGATTTGGTGGACTGCAGTGCCCATCTTCATTCCAAGTGACATTCTGACTAGCATATCCACCCCTCGGGTTAACTTTCCAGCCACTTTCGAATGTGCTCCTTGAGAAAAGAAATTCATTGGTTCTTCTGGCTGGAACCCCACCCCTAGAGCTGTATGTATTTCTTATATAGTTTGAGTATTATTTGTTGATCCATTGTATTTTCCATCCTCACAATATTTTCTTCAATGAAGATGTATTTATATTGTATTGTCCCACTGAGTGTGCCAATTGTTGGTTCCAAAATTTACCGAATCTAAGATTTTATGAGTGAATACGTGCCTAAGTCAAGCAATTTGTGTTGGCCAAGGGATGCAAGCTAATGTTGGGTCTTAAAGATACCCTAAATAGGTTTATGAATCCAAGAATAGGTACACAGGCTCAAAGAATTTCAAACAACTCGAGTTTCAACGTGAAGTAATCTCCCACCGAAGCTATACGAACATATTGAAGAATTTCACTAAGGTTTTGAAGATGAACTAATGAAAAATGCTAAAATAAATACTAAGCTCTTTTTATGATAAGTCGTCTACCTTGATTGTTCCAAATGGCTTTATTTATATACAAGTTAAATCAAGAAAAATAGCAAAATAAAGATAATATTAACAATCCATAATAATAGGGGATTTTTTAAAATAAATTCTAACAAATTCTAATGAGTACACTCCATCCAAATCTTTTGTGGATAAGTGTGAATCTTCTTCCAAATGAGGTTCAGTTCGTAGTTGTATCTCCTTAGGGTTTAAAGGGACCTTATCTGGAGGTCTAAAGGTAGAACCGTCACATGTGTGGTTGAATCCGTGACTGCACCCTTTTGGCATGTCTTTGAAACTTACATAGGCGACGGTAGCGTCTTTCGCCAGATTTCAGGCCAAGGGTTAATCATGTACTCTAAAGGAAAATTATGTACTCTAGTTTAAAGGAAAATCATGTACTCTAGTCGGTTGGGTCTTGTCCAACACATTTAAAATATTATATGGAAAAATATATATTCAAAATATCATATTGTACAAGTACTTATATAAAGTCAAATATTTATTTTCTATTCAACATCTATATTCTTATACCAACCCAAAATACTAAAATATTTTCAAAATATATAAATACACCCTCAATTTTTCATTCAACATGTTTAATCAATGTCTATTTATATCACATTAAATACTATTTAAATCAAATTTATAATATTTCAACCCCAAACTCAAGTTCAAACTCCAAACAAACGGGGCTTCGTGTCTATTTTCTATCTTTTTACCCACTTTGAATGATTGCGGGACTTCAAAATAGTCATTCAAATATTATATAGTTAATGAGAACAAAACTATCTTAGATGTAATATTTTGTATAAAAATTAATTTTTTATATATGCAATATTTTAATGGTCTTTTTAAAAAATAAAAATATATTGTCGTAATTTTTTTATAGTGTATAGTCGTTGAAAATTTTCAATTGGCGGCCTACAAAAATATTGGCCCAGCCAGATGAAGTGGTAAGCGGGATTTCTAAGCTAGCTCAAAGAAAGTTTTCTGAACGAACTATGGCGTTTGAATTTTGAAATTGATTAAGAAGACAAAATTTGTTATAACTAAATAAACATTCAAAGATTGAAACATAAAAAGAGAAGGACTAGCAAAAAATATGTAAGAAACAATACGCAAAATTAAGGAAGAAAAGTAAATAAAATGAGCAATTACATTTTGGAAAATAGATTGGAATTGTCGACCTCATCCGTGTGCATCTTGCTCCCTTTTTTTTTCTTTTTAATTTTCGATGAAGTCCTTTTGTTAATGATAAATTTATTGGCTTCATAGTTGGCTATGTAATTTACTTATTAAAGCCACCATTGAAGCTTCCATAACCACAATTAAACACCTTCTAATTCCCTTTCTTCATCGCAAAAGTTCCTTCGCTACTTTGGGCTTTGCCTACCAAATCATCTCAATAAAAATTTAGGGTCAAGTTCAACACAGGGCAAAAAATATAACATGCAAATAATACAAATATATATGCATTCAACTTAAAAATATATATGTCAAATACCATAGATTGTCTTAAATTTAATTCGGAACATACTATGAAAACTTGCCTCCACGATGCAAAAAGTGTAGTCCGCTAAAAAGAAACACAAAGAGCAATGGTAATATAATTAAGCATTAATCCAGGCCATGATGTCGGAAGCGACTTGTTTGTAAATTTCTTCAGCAAAGGGAAGTGTCTTTGGGAAGTGATCCGGCGCCACAGTTACCTGCATAATTTCATTCGCATGATAAAATTAATAAATATGTAAATAAAATGAAAATAAAATTACTAATTAGATTTAGAAATACGGACATGGAGGAAGAGCATGCGTCCAAAACAAATGGTGTTGAGGTGCCCCGAGATGATAGAGAGGTTATAGTTGTGCATGAGAGAGCAGACAACGATAAGCAGTTGGGGTTTGGGGTTGATGCGGGGGTAGTAGATGCTCAAGTGTGCGTCATTACCGGCCACATTTAGAACCACATTCGGAGATGCCCATGTCTTGAAACCCCTCGTCGACAAAAATTCAGATTTGGATATGGATTTGGATTTTATCATCTCTGGCATCATTTGCTTCTCAGCTCTTTTCAGCTTTTGCTTCTCCATGTTGTGAAGGATTTTCTCCAATTTTTGCATGTACAATATTGCCTCATCCACTATTTTCACTTTGTCTGCCTGCAAATCGACCATAAAAAATAATGGGTGCACACATTATTATCACGATTGATTAAATTTTTTCATATGTTAATTTTCGCTTTGCACAATTACATAATTATGAAATTTAAAATATATTGAGAATATAATTAATATATAGTTATAATCTATAGTGTAAATAAACAACAACAACGATAATAATAATAATAATACTCCCTCCGTCCAGCAAGAAGGTTGTCATTTGGTTTTTTCGTCATTGTACTTAACATTAAAAATATCTTTATATTTAAATAATTTACTCAACAAATATCATTGTATTTGTATTATAAGAGACTAATAAAAGTATTTTTGTCTTTTTCTTTGATTTCTACTGCGTATGGATATAATAATTAATATTTAAAGTTCAACACGCAAAAAGGCCATGACAACCTTCTTGCGGAACGAAAGGAGTAATAATAATAATGAATTTTTCTACTTTGATCTATGATTTAAATTGAACAATTCTTCTATAACTTCTCATATTTTGGCATACATCTATATATTATATGGGGCAAATATTATATGGGGCAAACAATACATGATATAGAGATGTACAATACATGATTTATATTAATATAATATAAAAATATAGTATTATATAGTCTTACATATAAAATATTGTCATTGATTCAATTATAAAAGATATATTTTTATAATAACACGTACAAGTATTAACTAACAACACATATTTTTATTCAATACATTACATATGTTGTGTGCTTATTTTACATGTACTGACCGAGAAAAATCAGTATAGTGTTGATTTGCGCGAGTATGTACAGTAACCACCATCTCCATATAAATGAAATGAAATTACATAATCTACCAAACATAGAATTAGCCTAAATATTCCCTTTATTCAAGTGCACAAATCTATCTTAATTAATCACTCTGATAGAATAACATAATGAGTGAATAGTGCAAGACCAATAAAAACAAATATACTTACACCTCCTAAACAGATCCACACTAGTCATGACATACCGTGATGCAAAATCTAAGTATAAGATCATAGTATACCATGCTGAAATCTAAGTCTATATTCTTCCTACTATGGCATTTCAAATATAAAAATAAAAATAAAACCAAAATGGAATATTCACCAAGAAATAACAAAATTACCCTTGGAGGGAGATCGGGGATTATATCACCAAGATCATGAAACATTTTTGTCATCTTTTTTCTTTGCTCTCGTTCTCTATTCAAGTGTAGTTCATATTTCGATTCATCTTTTACGGCTCTTTTCTTAGCTTTTACTTCCGGTGGAACCATCGACACCACTTCAGCATTGACATCCACGTTCTTTTCCTTTCGGTTATCAGTCATACCATTGGGAGCGGGCACCGTATTTCTTGCACATTTATTTGACACTGAAATCGGAAGCCCATCACCTTCAAAGGCACCTACCGTTTTTTCGCCATCTTGATTTGGCACTACAACCGGATATGTCCATGATAAATTGTTGCGGTATACATCTTCTTCACTTATCAGTCTTTGCATTGTAGCTAGCATCAAAAAACAAAATATATTATCTCTATGTTAATGACTAAATATGTGAGTTTTTGGTGAATATCGATGAAAACTTTGGGTTCGAGAATATATATATATATATATATATGGTAAGATGTGTAGGAAAAAATATGAAAATGGAAAGAACTATTTAAAGGGGCGTTATAAAAATAGGATATAATATAATTATAAGACAAAAATTAAATGTCAGGATTCAAAACAAACTATAGAAATGATATCAGTTCAGTCACTCCCGGGATCTTTGATCCTAGATAAATTACAATCGTAGATATTATTGGACCTACAAATATTAACGGTTTAGATTATTTAAATACTTTGAATTTTGAGAAAAAAAAAATATAATAAAAAGTAAAAAAATCATAGTACTTTAATAGGATTCTCTTTCTAAATTTGCTCAACCTTACTTTTTTTTTTTTTTTTTTTACTCCTTGTCCTTGCCCTTGTACTCATAATAATACTAATATTATTATTAATACCAATAACAAATGCCCCATAATTGTCAAGTATGATTTCCTTCTCATGCATACATATGAGTAATTTTTTTAAATATATATATATGTATTTCTTATTTACTGTCACATCAATTGCATCTTTGATCCAAATGAGTATCAAAGTAGATAGTACTATATTTTAATTTATTATTTATTTAATATTAATAGTTTAGAAAGTGTGAGATTCACGTTTATTTGTAACAATATTGATATGCCAGTTGTCTGTAATTATGGTAACTATACAATAAATGTGAGTTAAAAATATGTAGGTTTGTTTGGTTGTATTTTTCAATCACTTGTTTTCATTATTTATTTGCAGTAATTTATTTTATTTTTTTATTGAAAATATTGCATTAAATATTCATTTTTATTGCACTAAATTATTATTATTATCAATTTAAAATTTTGCTATTCGTAAATACACCAAAACACAACCAAGTAAACTTGTAGTACTGATGGGTACCGATGATTCATTAACTTTCTTTTAAGATTACTATAATAAGCAATTACAATCATCATTAGTCTACAAGTAGAATCGACTCTTTTTAAAAATACTACTTAGAATATTCTAAGCCAAAGAAATTATAATAATTATGTCAAATAATGTGATGCATACCAATGTTTGAGTACATCTTCAGATGTGACGAGATGCCATAAAAAGGCATTTTGAAAGTGGACTTATTAATTTGATGTATGGCGGATTGACTTCATGGGATCATTCGCTAATTTCCATGGAACTTCTATGGCTTGGTCGTAGTAAATTATGTTAGTAAATGGGTCGAGGCATTTGCACTTTCAACCAATGATGCGACTCAAGTAACAAAGTTTATACAAAACAAATTTTCTCACATTTTGGTGTTCTCAAGACATTCATTAGCACGAAGACACTCGTTTCGTCAACGAGTGATTTATCGTTGATAATGTTGGATTTAAGCATATTCTCTTTATGATTTTTACGAGCATTTGTTATGATTTATGATCAAATTTTTGTTTAACAAAGCCAACGTATCATGGCAAATGTGTTTTTTTAACATCTTTTGTATCATATAATTAATATGTCTTAGAATTTTGAGAATTTCAGTTGCATTTTGGAGGTATAAAACATGAAAAAAGGCTTCGTATGGGAGGAATCTGAGAGCGTCGTGTGATACTTCATTTTGATGTCAAATTGCGAGTGAATGCATTGTAATTTAAAGGGAAGGAAAGAAAGTTTGAAGTTCGTCTGAAGGTTATCATGATCCGTGTGAGAACGAATCTCAACCCTTGACATTAACATATGTTGGATTGGACGGCTTAGAATCGTTGTACCGGTTGGCAAACTGCAACCACCATCCTTCTTGAAGCTCTATCTGCATCTATAAATATGGGTTGAGTTGAGTCATTTGTAATAATTTCCATTCCTAGAAAACACGATCGTTTTAGGAGAGCTCAAGCTTAATGAGCTCCTTCAAAAGTCTAGCTCAGATGGTTTTTGCAGCATTTGTGAGAAAAGTCACTTGCTCGCCACCCATCTCATTTACTTTTTGCACTTAGATAATTTTTTTATTTTTGTAGCTTAAATCCAATTTTCAATTCATAGTGGAAACACGAACTTCAATTCTTAGTTAATGAAATATCATATTTCTTTACATCACTATCACTCATGGATGACAGTAGGTTAAGATTACTATATCTCGCGATGCGACGAGAATAAACGATGTTAAAATCGAATATAAGTGACTTAATTAAAATCTAGTTAGAAGGTTCTGAAAGGATTCCACACTACTAGATCGACCTAGGAGCTATTGCAAAAGCGACTTCTTAAGCAAATTGGCAGTAGGTAGAGAGTGAATTAGTCTCTTAATTAATCAGTTGTGAGTATCTAGGGAACGACTTTCAGGGCATTTAAATAATAAATGCAGAAATGAATCATTAGCACAATGTTTTAGGAATTAGTCTGTCTTACCGTGATTACCTCTAGGCCTAAGCGAACCATTGTGATCGTGATGCAATTAGCGGATAGGAATCTTATGCTATCGCTCACAAGTAGTATTATGTCTCACGAAGTGTGTACATATATATTGTGACAATTTTTCCACTTCATCCACCTATTATTATCTTTTCAAACTCGCAACCTTATAATCATATAATCTACGTACATTATTCATACACCCCATCCATTTCCACCATCACATTTTCACAAACACCCACCCTTCGCCACGCGACCAATTCCCACCTTATTTTTCTCCTTTAGACTTGTTCTATACTTTAAAATCCTCAACATTTACATTCTTGTCTCTGTGCAAATAAATCCAAATTTTTATATTAAAAACTCACGATATTATTTAACTTAAGTTTTCCTTCATATTAATGTCTTCACTTCGACCCGGCGCTCACTGATTAATATGAAAAAAAACTTTTTATTTGATGAATATTTTTATAGTGCAAATTGATTCTCTTAGTACACCTACTTTTGTCACATACTTGCATCCAAATCAAAAGTAAAAATAGTTCTTTAAAAAAAAATCATCAAAAAAATTTGTGCCGTTTCAGGAGTATTTTTCATGAGGGTGTACTTACGCATGATAGCGAGCTTTATGACAATTTATTGTGATAAATGATTCTCATCTTAGCAAATTTAGAAGTTCTAAGAGGCGTGTTGGTTTTTTGAGATTCTTCATGAGCACCATCGCGACCATTCCTACAAGATTATTTACTAGCATGAGTGTTTTTTTGCTTATACTTTTGATTGAATTTGTTCAGGAAAAAACAAAGGGTAGTGTGAGGATGTTTAATAATGTTGAATTCGAGCATATTTTTTTGATAATTTTTATAAGCATTCTTTATGATTTATGATGAAATTTGTGTTTAACAAAGCCAAAGTATCTTGGCAAATGTGCTTTTTAACCTTTCTGTATCATCTTATATTCTTTGGTATTTTGAGAATTTCAGTCGCATTTCAAAGATATAAAACATAAAAAAATGGCTTTGTATGGAAGAAATTAGGCACAGTCGCATGATACTTGGTCGTGTTGTCATATCTCGAATCTAGTCACATTGGGAGATCAGGAGTGAATGCCCTGTAATTTAAATAGAATGAAAGAGAGTTTGAAGTGCAAGTCTGGATTTGTGTGAGAATGAATTGCAACCCTTGATATTAACATTTGCTAGATTGGACAGCTGAAAATTGTTTTCGAAAACTGTAACCTTCATCCTTCTGAAAACTCAGTCTGCATATATAAATAGCGGTCGAGTCGAGTCACTTGTAATAATTTCTATTCATAGAATACACAACCATTTTAGGAGAACCCAAGTTGTAAGGAGCTCCTTCAAAAGTCTAGCTCGGGTGGTTGGCAGCACTTGTGACAAGAGTTGCATGTTCGTCACGTACTCATCTCATTTACTTTCTGCACTTTGATAAATTTCCAATTTTTATAGTATAAACGCAATGTTCAATTCATAGTGTAAACATGACTTTCAATTCTTATTTAATGAAATATAATGTTTCCGCATATCACTATCACTCATGGATGACATTAGCTTAAAATTACTATCTCATGACACGACAAGCGTAATTGATGGTTAAAAAAATTATAAGGGACTTAATTAAATCTGGTTAGGAGGTTCCGAGAGGATTCTATACTACTAGATTGATATAGGTACTACCGCAAAAGCGACTCCTATAGCATAATTAAACTTAAACAAATTGGAAATAGGTAGAGTCTTTTAATTAATCAAGCACAAGTATGGAGGATAATGGATCGCAAGGGATTTAAATAATGAATTCAAAAAATGGATCATTAGCATAATAATCAAGGATTTAGCCTGTCTAACCGTGATTACCTCTAGGCCTAAGTGAACTATTGTGAACGCTACGCGATTAACGGATAGGAATCTTATGCGATCACTCACACATAGTATTCTGTCACACTTATACGCAACCACCTTTCCACTTCACCCACTTATCATTATCATGTCTATCTCACGACCTTATAAATCCTATCATCCACGCACATTATTAACACACCCCATACATTGCCACCATGACATCTTCACAAACACCCACCCTTTGCCACGCGACCAATTCCTACCTCATTTTTCCCCTTCATACATATTCCATATTTTAAATCCTTGAAATTCACGTTCTTGTCTCAATGCAACTAAATCTCAAATTCGATTCATAAACTCGCGCTATCATTCAACTTAAGTTCTCCCTTACATTAGTGCCCTGAGTTCGACTCGGCACTCACCGGTTAACATTAAAAAATCTTACTATTTAATGAATACCTTTGAACTACTATGTGATTCTCTAAATTATACCTACTTTTGTCGCATACATGCATCCAAATAAAATATAAAAATAATTCTTTCAAAATAAATCATTAGTTGCGCTTCTCGCAAAGTACAACGATCACCACAGTCTTGCTACCCCCTACCACCCGCAGTCCAACAGCCGAGGTGAAGTATTAGATCATATATATTAATTTTATGTTATGTTTA